GAGACGAGACTCCCGTGGATGAATACCGGAGTCTGCCATTCACTGGGAATGTTGGAGAACGGAGAAGGTAATCAACGAGACTGATTTAATATACGCGTGCATCTCGAGAAGGAAAAAGAAATCTTGTTATCCGCCTCGTGATCTTTTTTCCAAGAGATGTGGCGGTTGATAGATTAGTGTAAGACCAGAAGCCTAAGTTGGTATGGAAACGTGATAGACGATAGGAATTATGAGAAGACAACAAGCGACCCATTGTAAACCATTTCCCTTTACACCCCTTGAGTAGGCATCTGTCCTACCTACCACATGTATTACCACATAAAGGCCCAAAGAATTCTCTCGCGGAAGTGAAGGCGAGGCAATGCGAGGCGTCGCCGCCGCTGAACAAATAAATTTAATGCGCGTGCATAACGACACCAATTTAAATGATAATGCGCGGTGTGTGTGCCTTCAAGATTAACTCGTAATAGGCCGGAATAAATGTCGACGGACCTGTTAGAAGTGTATCTAGTCGCCCGTTACACGGAAACAGTGAGTGCTAACTACTCCTGTAGACAAGCTTGTTTATATTGGTGCGTGTTGTGCAGCACGAAAACTGTAAATCCACACGCACGCATCTGGCGGCAGTGCCAAGAAAATTGGGTCGCCACGAATCATGTCTGCTAGATCTCTCAACGTCGTTATTAACGAGACCGCGGTGAGTTATCATCGGGCAGCATCGCATCGCGCTAGCATTTGCAACCTACAATTATCTGGTCAGTTATTAAATTTTACCAGCGATATTTAATTATCCTTCGACGAGGTGTTGCCGTGCGCATTAAGCGCTATGCCATAATTTACTTGATTATAGAACGTTCGATAACCGATAATCACATTCGACATTGCAAGAGATACGCGCTACCCGAATGTATCTTCTCATAAACAACCATGACAGTTACGCAATTTTCCCATGTTATACATACGCGATAGCGTGATGGAGAAAAAAAGAATTAATGCGGGGGAGAACGATACCATGCGAGTTCATCGACTATATCGATAAATCCCGATGGTAATGAGTAGGCTTATCTCAAAGACACTTATCAACCGGCACTCCTGCCCAAGTAAATTTGCCTAATTAAAGGAACAAGATGTAAACGATTTTATTTCCATCACTGTTCGTGCTATCTGCGTATCTGCCGACCACTTGGAATGAATAAATGGTTTCCTTCGTATCTTCCATTCTTTCTCTCTCTTTCTCTTCTTTCAGAAATCGAGCAACGCATTTAAACCACTACAGCCAGGTGCACCTGTCAAGTGCTCTATGCAGTTAGTTTGATTAATGACAGAAATATTTCTTGAATAAACAACGGGGCGCGCTTAAGCTCGATGAACAGATTGACATTTAGATATATATATACTTAAAAGCAACAACAATTTAGATTTAAAAGATAACTATGCAATTGCACGGTAAAAAGATGGTTCAAAATTAACCTTCGTTGATCTTATGTTAATATTACAAATCTAAATCACTGCGAAGAAAAATCTTCGCTGACGTATTTACTAATGAATATATAGAAGCGATTTTCTTTTTATCTAAGTTTTTTAAATATTATTAATGTAAACTACAAGATCTATGAATTATAAGATCTCCTATTTAACATAAATAAATAAAAAAGGCATATTCTTAGTGCCTAATAATATTTCGTGTAAATTTTCAGTTTCGTCAATTAATTTAATATTACGTAGATATTGCAGTTTCAGTTTAGGACATTTCAAAATAAATAAATAATCAGTGCGTTGTTTGTTTAAACTAGAAATTGCAAAATTAATACAAAATATTATTAGGATATTATCCAAGATTCACTTTGATCTAATATACCCTTCTTCGTTTATTTGTATTAAACTTTTCTCGGTCGATTTTCATTTACTATTATTAATCTTTCATTTATTTTTATTTTCAAATATTTTACTTCAAAAACAAGAATCAGAAATATTAAACAGAAGCTAATTAGAGAGAATAATCAACCTCGATCAGACGAAGAGTCGACGAGGCTTCGGAAGTAAGCTGCACGAAGTAAGTTTGCCTGCGGAGGTGTCTTGTCGAGATTGTCGCAAATAGAATCATGTGCAAGCTGTGCCCTCGCTTCCTCACCTTGCCTCGCCACGCCATTGAACCTCTTTGCATATACATTCTGTAAGATTACTTTGTGCGGTTTACACCCAACCTCTCCCCTTCCTTATCCCCTCAGTTGTCCCTCAGCAGCACGCTGCGCTTCACTTCAGCCCTCTGCTTTCGTTGCCGAGAGGCAAACTACCCTCCAAGTTTCACCCAAGGTCCCTAATGTATGCGGAACTATACAGCAGAAATTCCAAGTTCGGCATGGCCGTGTTAGGCGCCTTTACGATGAGTTTCTACCCTCTCGTTCTCTCTTTGCCGCGCTCACGAGGGTAGGGACGAGGCTCGCTCGACAAGACTCGCCCTCCGCATAAGAGGCGAACACGCGTGATCCTAATTAGAACGCGTCCTCGAGGTGCCGAAGTAAAAGCGAGCTTCTTGTTAGGCGTCCCGACGAAGGCGCCTTCGGCATTCACGCGCGCATATACGGGAGCGTACAAGCAAGGTGCACTCTCGAAGTAAAACAATTCTCTCTCTCTTCTCCCTTAAATTTTGCAAACATTTCTAAATGAATATTATCAAAATCATAATTTTCGTGACAATTGCATGATGTAAGCAGTAAAATTCGCGAGGTCGTTCAATGTTATGATTGACGAAGTTATAAAAACTTATATACTTTTTTTTAAAAAACCGCTAACTGAAGCAATGGCAAGAATTCTCACAGGAAAATATGACAGATAAAGCATCTCGCGTTCGTATTTACATAGAAAAGAAACTTTACCGTTAAAGAAGCATAATGCTTACAAACGATCATATTAGTCGAGTATTACATTGGCGTAATACATTATCGAGTTTTGATGATGAAACATTTTATTGAATACTAAGAATCAAGCATACAAAATGTCAATACATATAAATAAATTAAAATAAAGTAAATATATCTGTAAAATAATTTAAAAAACTCTAATTATAAAAATTGTTATTATTTCAAATTTTCTTCTTCGAACATCTTTGCATTCTTTTATTTCTTCCGTTTTCCTCTATAGGAAAATGTATTTTATAGGGATGAGATAGTGACGAACCTGTCGCGCGTTCAATGACTCGTGAGAAGAAAATATGATGGAAAACTACGTAGAATGTGTTGACGCGGCAATTGACCGGCGGACTGGCGCGGCACGCGACATCGCGCTAGACGAAACGGTCATTAGGGATGCAAAGGGCGGAATCGCGCAGCTACGTTGCATGATAATTACTGTAAAGAAAGGCCGACGAGGCTCTATCCACTGGCTTCCCGAGAGATTACAGGATGTCCGGAGGCAGGAGTCTCCCCGCATGACCCGAAAACCCTTTCCGCGCTTACAAGCAATAAAAATTAACGACCGGTCCGGTCAAATCGTATATGAAAGGCGGACCGCCAGGACCGAACTATGGCGTCTGAGTAATACATAATTATCACGGGCCATTCAATGTATACACGTGGCAATAAACAGATTCCTTTTGTAACGAAACTGTCATATAAAGAGAACGTGTCAAAATCTTTCGGAAGCTGTTAACATTTTATCCAAATTTTCATTCGCAAAAAGAAAATCGATGTTGTAAATCAAAATCTTATAAAATAAATATGTTATATAGGATATGCTTCTTATAACAATTCATTTTTAATATAATAGTAGAAAAAAAATATTAATGTCATCTGACATCTAAAAATATACGGTGAGATTACATTAAATTACTTTAAACAATTAATGATGATTAATAATTGATAATTAATTAGTTTAAAGATTTTTTTTTTTAATCAAAGGAATGAGATTTTCAATTCTTCTTTAAAAGAACTGAACAAATTATGATGCAGCCACGCGCGAGAGACGAGCTGAGAGCACAATCCGGTCATAATCGGTCAAAGGAAGCGTGAAAGAGCCGCTTCTTTCCTCTTTTATAGAACATCTTAACCGGTCGGCACCTTTAATCGTGAGATCCGATAAATATATCAAAATTATGATGGAGGATCGGCCGCGTACAGGACGAGCAGTACATCCTGCTGATGCTCCATCCAACTTTGTTGGTTGCGGCGGAAAGGAGCTTGCTCTCCGCTCTCTTCATGAGATCTCGAGAGATCTCTCCTCCTCCACTTTTAATTTTCAGGCGCGGCTAATTATGATTTACGGCAACATCGGCGCAACATCCTGATCGCTACGCGAGATACCGCCCGCAGGATATTCAAATGCGATGAATATTGCTCGCCGCGATAAACGGCACACGAACGACAAGATAAACGAAGGAGAGAAAGAGAACGCGAGAAAGGAAGAATCGTCGCGAGAGCGCGTATAAAGGATATGGAGAAAGGATTCCTAGTAGCCTACTCGGTATGCAAGATGGGCAGCCTTGTACATACCGCATCCTTCCTCCCACCCTTCGAAGGATGTATAGGCATCCGCGCGCGTGGATCGTTTCGTGCCGAATCGTTCGTCCGTAGTATTTAAAGCCCGAGACGGGATAATTCAATACGGGACCCCGAACCCTTTGTGTCCCTGCATGTGTTTGGAAAACATAAGCTGCCTAGCGATGTTACAACATGATGAGCGTCATGATTCAAGCGCATGATTTCTCGCCAAGAAATCGAGGTGTAACAAACGCCTTCCCAAGAGACGACCCAAAAACACACACTGACTTAGATAGATTTCGATTTTTTTTCCACGTGAACAATTTTCGCGCATGCCCTTTCCCGTAATTATACATTGTTATTAATAAATTAGAATCATTTGTAACAAATAAAACTTTCCAAACACACACATTCTTTCACTTTTCTACAAAATTATTTATTCTCTCTGCTACTCTCGCGATTCTATCATTCGCAGTGCTTTATACACATACATATACAATTGTGAAACAAAAAGGATGTACTCACTTTATCCGTTCGTTTTCTAGCAGGTATAGTCGCATCGTTATGCCGGACATGAAGATCGGTCTCACTGGCCATTCGATTGAAGCGTTGCATTCGTTCACGAACGCTGAGTTGCTCAGCCGAGGAGGAATTTGTTGTAATTATTGCTTCATCTTCCTGTAATTTATTAGATTTGATTCTCGGATTTTACATATTACAAGTGCGAACAATAATAAATGAATCTATCTTGAAGGACAAAATAAAGCCTGTGGTACACGATGCTTGTTTTTCTGGAAACATCTAGATCAAAACATCTAGGTCAGTTTGCGTTTTTATAAATTACTAGAATTGTATCACACAGAACGTCGAAGTTTCTAGTAATTTATCAAAACGCGAGCAATCCAGTAGAAAAATACGCATCGTGTGCCGCAGACTATCTTAAGACCGATATTCATAGTCGGTTCTTATATTTAAGACCATCATAAGTCTCAAGATGTCATAAATCAATCACAGTATTGGCATCCCAAGACATTACTTAAGACAGTCCTAAAATAAAAACTTGACTATATGTATACTGGCTTAGAAGATATAAAAAACATTAAACAGATAATCTTGATAACAGTAAATATACTATTAGTAAAATATCAGAAACTATTTATATAACTTGGAAAAATGTAATAATAATATATAATTACAAAATAAATTTATTTATTTAAAATTTCTAATAGTTTACCAAATAAATAATTATTGTATAAAAATCATGGTTAGCTTTACAGAAATTTAATACAATTCAATATTGAGAGATAGTAATTACTTATTTTAAGTATTGAAAGCACTGTGTAGTCCAGTGCTTTTAATATTCAAATAAATAATTAATTACTGTCTTTCAATAATAAACTGGCCAGCAGAGATTATTGTTCTAATTATAAATTAATAGAAAAAAATAATCGTTTATCACGCCAGCATGATATACATTCCTTTCACATTGCGCGATATATCGTATGAATATGATGATATCGATAATGGCGAGTACGTTTTCAAGGAAACACAAACAAGATATATATATATAGATAAGATAATCAATGAAGAATCTACCTTTATGACGGCTTCCAAGGAGCTGTTCCGGTTTCTATCAACGTTTTCCTTGTTTTCCACCTTGAGTTTGTCTTGACTTTTGCGACGCGGTGGAACAGGTGGTGACGACATTGACGAACTAGGCTCCGATTCGTCATTTTTTTCACGCGTGGATATCGGCGTCGCGCTTTCTTCGAGGCTCACGTGAGAATTACTTGAGGATGGACTGAGAGGTGCCGGGGGTGGAGGCCGGTAAGGTGGAGGCTCGCGTAGAGGAGAAACCGGAGTGGTTAAATTGGAGGTGGCGAGGGGAGATCCCGCTTGCTTAGGGGGTGAAAGGTCCAAAAAGGGTTGCCGATATTTCTTCTTGAGAACTAAGTATTTTTCACCCTGTTAAGGAAGTTCACTTTGAGAATACTCCTAATTAGACAGGAGTGATGCAGATTTCAAACCGTAACTTCGATAACTTAATTTTCTGTCATATTAAATTTTGAAAAAAATAACAAATATTAAAAATTCCCGGAAATTAAATAAAAATCGTATAATTTTCATTATTACACACTTTTCTCGCATACAAATTTCTCTAATATTAATAAAGTATCTTGTATTCTTATAATTAAAAAATAACAATATATTTTTTAAATTTAAACTTTCTTCAGAATCATTTTCTTTTTTGCCAAAATCATACTCTCTCCAGAGTTTAAATTGATCAATCTATTTCATATAAAAAAAATATTTAATATCTATCGTTACTTCGATACGTGACTTTAATTTTAGCACAGATATTACTAAAATAATGCGTACTAAAATTCTAAAAAAAGTATCTTCACAAAGAAAGATATATATATGGCAATTATAATTAAAAATTATAATTAATATATATATTGATAACAAAAACATATTGACAACTATACAAGTTTGTCGATACAACTATTATAGATATATAAATTTATAATAGTATTTTCTTTTTTTTTAAACAAACTATTATATAGTTATAATAACTATAAAATACTTTATTCAATTATATATATTATATATTAACTCTATTTAGAATTCATATAATTATCAACTTTATAACTATTACCACTATCTTTTTTTTAAGTGCAGCATTATATATACAAATATTAATTAATCAATATTTATATATCAATATCATCATATTTAAAGAGTCATATTTATATATTAATATTAAAAGAGTCAACATAAAAACTTTTCTCACAATCTTTTCTCGGATATATTCAACAGCTTTCATTTTGAGGATGTAGATCTCAGTAGCACGTATTCACATAAAGTTTTTTGAATGTTCACTAAGACTAAAAATACATACAGTCGGAAAGATCTTGTGACCAATGTGACGACTCGGGAGAGATTTTTTTCAGCTGATCGCATGCCTTCAGCTGATCGCGAGCGGAACCGGCAACGTCGCGCCAGGCGCGCAACAAGTCGCTCCTGTCAGAACGGACAGGGAGTCGCGGGACAGAGGGAAAGATGATTCGCCGTTAACTTACCTCCTCGTTCTTTATAGTAGCCAAGGTGTTGACGTACTCCTTGAAACGATTCCTCGCCTCGACTGTAACACAAAATCGTACATTACACACCACGTTCGACACCACGGCAGCTTGGTCGTCGACCGTCCACAGTGTTTATATCACATATGTGGACGCGGAATCACATCTCGGGATAACTGCGAGCACGATGCGTCGACGTAAATGCAACCCACCTCGTGTTTCCGGATCCGTCAGAAACCGCTTGAAATGCTTCACCAGGTCGTGATTGCGCGCTGTGCCTCCGTTTTCCAACAAATAGTTGCGAATCTCCTCGAGGGACAACTCACTGGGCGTCGCCATCTTGGATGAACTGACTTCGCCGCGAACGGCGTTCGTGACGCATATGCTGTTGATAATAACGGTCACTGTAATTACCATCGAGAATAAGTGGATGTCGATTGATAAATTTTTTTTATATTGATTCGCTCTTTTATGTATTAATAAAAGCATTCACTGTAAATGCAGAATAAATACGTAATAGTTATAAATGTGATAATTCTGGTTTAACTTATAAATAGTGTAAAGCCAATAATTTTATATAGATGTATACATGTATATATATTGCTAATTAAGTTTTAAATTGATGTAAACATATTTTTAATAAATTAAATTAGACTGTTTAATTTGTAAATAACGTAAATAAATAATGAAAGATCAAATAGGATTAAAATTGAAAAATGTACTTAAATAAATAATAACATTTTTTTGTGATGTTAAAGGAATACGCGAGTCCCTAAGAAGTTTTTTGTTATTAGTTTCAAAAGAACTGAAGAAATTTTAAAATATTCATAAAAAGTAACAACATTTAAAATATGATTATAATGAGAAACAAAATATTATCCATTTAACTAAATTAATTTAGTTATCTTTATTTCTTTCATTATAGAGAATGTATGTATCTAAATCAAATATAATATGTTTAATTTAAATACATACATTCTTCATCGGAAGAAATAAAGATGAATTAAATTTTAGTCAAATGAACAATTGTTTTCTTACTATAATAATATGATTAGTTTATCATGACTAAAACAAAACTATCAAAAATAAGATTGTGAAATACAAAATTATTTCAAATAAAATCATTACACTCTATTTAAAAATTAGAAAAATATCCTAGAGTTATGAGTAAGGACTCAAATGTGCCAATTATTAATTTACATGGATTAATTCACATAGAAATATGATTAAGTACCAAGATTTAATCTCGACTGTATCTCGGCGCTTTTTTTTGTACTTATAAAAACATATTTCACGAATGATGTTTAATAAACGGCTCAGATAATCGCTAAAATCGTCGATAAATATACGAAATGTTATATATATTTAATAGCTTTGAAAGTATCTATCCATGTTAATGCATCCGTTCGCGATATATTATTCACCTGTGTCCGAATAGATGATTCTCAAAAGCCTTTTAACTGCACGTTATTCCGCAGATTTTCAACGTTCGAACGGCGGTCTCTGATTCTCGTCGACTGGATTTAATACCGTATTTTAAACACGCTGGCACATATTAATGGAGGCGTCGCAATGTCGGAGTGCATTTAACGCTTTCCCGCCGTAAGCTCTTTACGATCGGATAGGATCAAAACGCACGACACGCGCGCTTCATGCGAAACCTTTTTAACAGACATTCAGGCGAAATCGTAATCTGTCCCTGCCAACGTCGGCGCAGGGCACCGTCCGGAACACGCGCCTCTATATTTATTCAACGACCAATTAGTAACCGACGCGATAAATTCTACCTTAATTTATGATCGACCATAATTTTCCATGTACTTTTAAAACTGCCTCACATGAGAGAGTAGAAGGGACGTATACATATTCCATCACACGTTCGCGTCTCACGCCTTTTCATTTAGATGTATACGATTGTAGATGTAATGAGAGAAAAGAAGAAAAAATAATTGCCAAAATATTTAATCTTAATTTGTATATCGCAACTTGATAAATTTTAATATATACGTTGCATTACGCAAATACGTAGACATTATTCCGTTATATTATGCGCATATATTTATGGTATGTGTGTGCGATGTGGCTGGTATAAAATTAAAGAATATGTATTCACTTCCGGTCCCTCCCCCCCTTCCCCCCGTCAAAGGGGTTAAAAACTATTACAGCGTACCTTGTGTATACCACTGAGCTCTCGTTAGCTGTACAATCACGCGCCTGTAATAGCAGCGACTCTTATTAACAGTGTCTCGTGATTAAGAAAACGACCTTACTAATCACCCTTGATGTGTAGAAATACACGTAAACCGAGAGAGGAGGGCAAGAGTGCCAGAAGGGCGGATATATTATATGCGTGCGGCACGCAGAGGTCTGCACGCGTATGTATCCGTGAAACGGAAGTGAGGCGGTACCTTTGTAATTAAACCTCCTTTATCGGCGATATTCTAATGAAATGACGAGTAATGATCGAGCGCAGTCCGCAACAGTCGCACGAACATCCTTCTTTTCAGCATAAACATCCTTGTTTTCACTTACAAATATCTCGCTCAAATTCATGTTCAAAAAATTAAATTTCTAATTATATCATATGTTATAAGATTTCATAATTACATAGGAATTAATAGTTTTTATATCGTTACAAAATGTTCTCTTATGAAACAAAGAATATAATTACACAGAATTTTGCTAAATCTATGTAAAAATTTAATTAAATTCAGATCTAGTTAAATTTTTATATAGATATTAGTAATCTGAAAATGATTGTATCAGAAAATAATTGTATTTTCAATATTGATCTGAAAATAATTTTGTTTGGACTATCAAAATAATTACAGAACGCTTGAACGTTATGGAACGTTATGACAATACTGCTAAAAATTGTAACATTCCACATAGAAAGAACGGTTTTATTGAAGTATCTAAAATTTAACTAGACACAAATCTGAAAATAATTTTGTTAGAACTATTGAAATAATTGTAACCACTTAATCTAGTTACTAGAATGTTAAAAAAACTTTTTGCAGTGTTGTCATCAACATTTAAGCGTTTTATATAATTATTATGATGGACCAACAAAGTTATTTTCAGATCTAAATTTCTAGATACTTTAACTAAATTGCTTCTTGCACGGCAACCAATTTGAGTGTCCTATGTAATTATATTAATGATCCATACAAAATTATTTTCAAATCTATATCTATCTCAATTTTTCAATGTTTCCACTCATCCTTTCCATAAAGAAAATATCGAGGAAACGTAATGTACGGATATTTAATAGCGTTTTTTATTGACAGAACTAGTGCACACTCATTAAAGTTGTTGTACACTATTCTAATCTAAATGTAAAAGAGAGATATCTCAATTTATAAAATGCATAATTGATAAATGTATTTTATCAAATAGCAATAAATGTATTGAATATTTTACGGTTTAATTCATGTTTCTATATTTTTATTAAACGTATATTTTCTCTCTAAATCAGAATCAATGAATAATCACTGATATCAGTGCCAAGTAATGCCACTAGTAATCAGTGAATGAAATATGAAAACCCTAATCTAGTTGATCTTTATTATATGATCTAACTAATCTTGTTTTAGTGCATAAATTTAATGAATATAGTATTGGAAATTTAACATGCAAATATCAAATTCACACAAGAATCATACAAGCATTAAAATCCAGCTTAAGATCGTTTAAGGCTTTGATTCCTGTAATTTGTGTTATCATATAATATATTATATCAATATTTTAATTATATAATGCTCAAACATCTTTCCTTTTTTAGTTAAACTTCACTAATTATCACTGATGGTAATGCCAAGTATGCTGAGTAATTAGTGACTATATCCATTGATTCAGATTTAGAGTTATATCGATTTGTGTATAACGGCTTTAAAGTTCATTAAATGCGTACTAGTTCTGACAATGAAAAACGCTATAAAGGCGCGTCTTATTATCGTAGGTTTAATAAAATCACAAAGAGGCGGCACGATATCTCTACGCACGTGCGTAACCTTTCATCGCGAACTACGTGTACTTAAACCTTGGCCTTGTCGGCAACGCGGTAGCTCGCACACGAGCATCATTCCACACAATTTTACAAACTCGGTGGGATTGATGCACGAGATTGGAGTAGAATAGATATTCTCGCGAAATGTATACTGTCGGGGTCGAGAGCCTCGGGGGAAAGGAGAGAGCAAGATGATCGCGACAGGAGAGGAACGAGCGGACGGCAACGAGGACAAAGGATCGCGTCGACGCCCCGCCGGTTCCGAAGTGCATCTACGATATCATCTACCCGTGTTCTCTTCACGTTATGCTTATGCTCGTGCATACGTAAGAGTCAGCCGCATTGTCACTGCGTTTTATCCGCACGTCTGACGCGCAAACTGCGCGAGCCGGAGGTCACTCTGTATGATCTACCGTTCCAGGATTCCAAGGAGGAGCTGCGACAATCACTTGCTGGCTACCGCGTTGATTTTCTGCCCGTCGTCGTTGCCGCCATATTCACGTTCATGCAAAAAGTAACGGGAACAGCAAACATATTCGTAAAGCCGGAGATCAGAATTGGGGCCCTATTCTTGAAAAGTATCACATATGAAAAATTAGAGAAATACTATAGTATGCGTTACATATACTATAGCATTTCTCTAGTTTTTCGTATACGATACTTTTCAAGAATAGGAGCCTTGATAGAAATTTGATGAAGTACAGATTTCGATGCCTTTCCGGACGTACGAAAATAATATTTACGTACCGTTCGCGTGGGACACAATTCTAGTGATTGATATGTCAGGTATGTGCTCGTATCCACGTTTTGCAGCGAAAAGTTCAACTTGTCAAAATTTTAATCTGTTACGATTCCCAGTTAAATTTCAATTGAAACAGAGACGCTCTCGCTCGCGTATATCCCGCGAAAAACATGCAGATCGCGTTGTAGGCACGTTGCCACCTTTCTAGTTTCGAAAAAGATTGGTAGTATTGCTGGAAGAAGGAAGAATTTTCGATAAGTCGATAAATCGCTCTGAATTTTGCTCTGAAAGTCGCCAAAGGTGGCAACATTGTAACGTTTAAACAAGCACTCGCATTTCGCGTATTGCTTGGTGTGCGTCGCGTGAGGATAGTGGAGATAGAATGTGTTTGTTTTTATTTTTTCTACGCATCACCGCGAGCCACTTTGTTCTTCATAAGTGTAAACAGGATTCCTTCCAAGCGAAAAATTGTATCTTGCTTTCAAGAACTCGATTCGTAAGTACCGACAAGATATTTCGAACGTCAAAACTACGCAATCTGATTACGCTATATGTGGTACAGTATCAGAAATTATATAGAAATAATTTAATTAATGCGTTAAAAGTATATTTCTGAATCACCTCCGAAGATGAC